GTTTGTTTGGTGTTTTGTTGTTGTTGTTTTTAAACCCCAATTTCTGCAACAGCTCTAATTTTTGTTAAGGCAAAAAGCCTGCCTACCTGGTAACTGTATCAATGGATTTTTTTTCCTAGTAGTTGGAATTTTGTGAGTAGAAATTGCTCCATTGGAAATTGTTCCATTTCCACTCTGCCGAAGGCGTTGGAAGTGTAACAGAACCATCCCAGGTGTCACTGATGCCCTGGAAAGTTCTCCCTGGGAGGCCAACTTTGACTTTGAGAAGGAGGCTGCACTACCTTCTCAGGACTCTCAGAAGAGTCTAGAAAAGGGCCAGGCTGAAATAATCCTGCACTACTGGTTGTTTTCCAATCGTTCAAGCCCCTGCTATGTGCCTGACACCAGGACAGGCCCTGAGATCCAAGAGCAAACAGGGAAGTACAGGTCTCATGGAGCATTGGCTCTAGGGCAGGGTTTCTCCACCTCAGCACTGCTGACATTGGGATGCACGGTAGGATATCGAACAGCACCCCTGGCCTCTACCCACTAGATGTCAGTAGCACCCTCCCCAAGTTGTGATAATCAAAAAAATGTCTCCAGACATTGCCACATGCCCCCTGGAGAGAACGAGGAGAACAAAATTGCTCGCCTCAGTTGAGAATCACTAGCCTAGGGTCACGATAGAGCCTGACGTCTCCAGACGGCCAGCGCGCTGGCTGCACAAGGAACCAAACATCTGTTTCTGAAGCCATCCTGTATCAGGGTGTCAGAGGTAGGCACTCAAAGAAATCAGCAATCCTAGCCTGAAATCCAGAGGACTCCAAACGGGAGCCCGTGTGGATTCCCCAAGCATGAGCCCAATAGCCCACTCCAGCTCCAGTTACTGGCTGCTCTCCAGAGAAAGCCACCGCCTGATACCCAATTGCCCTGCAGACTAATTACTTCCTGCGTTTTGTTTTTCCTCAAGCAGAAGCTGGCTTTGCACTTTAAAAACACAACCTATCACCTCCTCAGAAGGCCACCAGCAGAATGAACTTGTGCTGGGGGTAGCTTGGGGTTGCCTAGCAACGCCATGCACCTACCAAGGCTGCTTTCTTCCTCTTCAAGCTAAAAGCAGCTGCCCTGCAACTTCTCAGAGAGTCGCCAGCTTCCTACTGTTCGTGTTTTCATCTTCCTTATACAATGTGGAGAAAACCCGCTCCTGTGGTCTGTTTATCTCACTTCAGTTGGTCAGGGAGGAAAAAAAATCAAGAGAGAAGGAGAAAGAGAGGGGGAAAGCATCATTCAGTCTAGGGATATACATATTTTGAGTGCGTATCTCTGACTGACATACTGGTGTTCTCTGCAAATTTAAATTGTATGTAGTGAACGTGGGCTTCCTACACAATGAGGCTTCTGTTGAGACTTGGGGCATGGTTTTAGTCAAACACGAGACCTCAAAGTAGCAAAATAACAAAGCACGTATAATAGATGGCACACTGAGCAGCTGTTCGTAGGTCTGTCATTTAGTGTATTCCCTGTGATCCATTCCCAGAAACTCGACTGGTAGAAATTGTAAAGCTGGAGGTGCCTGGAAGTTGGGGATATTCTCTTTTCCTTGAGAACCGGTGAAATGTCCCTTTGGCTTTTCCTACTGAGTTCCATTTTGCTCCTGCAGAAGCGTTTGTGGCATTTCTCTGAACCTGGGGATGGCTTCTGCTCCCAGCATGCTCTCGCAGTATGAACATGGGTATGTCACCGGTTTTCCAGGGAAGGCCCAGTCACCTCCTCGGTAAGGAAAGGCATGGAAATGTGAGCCTGGGCTTTGCAGGGGTTGGTGTGGAGACCAGCAAGCCTTTCTCAAGGTGAGCAAACAGGGCTGCCTCGTTTGCATCCTGATGTAGGGTAGGTTGTGCATCAAAAAAAACCAGATTCCCACACAGCCAACTCCTCATTTCTCTTCTCAAGACAGCTCAGCTTCCTTTTAGAGACTTCCCCACATAGAGCTTCTCCTCCTCCATCGCTTTCCCTGCTGTCTCAGGCCCTAACCCAGACTACACTGGGAAAGGATGGGGGCAAAGAAGCACTGGGGAGTGAAACTTCTGAAAGAAGTAAACGGCAACTCAATTTCAGACCCTCCAGACCTTTCTTCTTAGGAGGAGTCTAAATTGCCACCACGGCCACACGCACAAGTTAGGTTTACTGGCTTTCTCAGAAGGGGTATTGGAGAGAAGAGATAAAGGATGCCAGCTGGAGGCCTTTGGAACACTGGAGAGAGAAGTAGGGAAGATGTGTGCTTTAGATTCAGAAGATTTGGGCCAGAAAGGCTTCAAAACAATTACCTCCATCATTGCAAAGCTCTTGATCCCTCTGCCATGGCCCAATCCACCCTGCATTTTGTGTGGTTTAAAAAGAGATAAAGAGGGCCGGCCGAGTGGCGTGTTGGTTAAGAGTTGGCTTGGGACACCAGCTCTGAGCAGCAGGGCCCCTGGTTCGGATCCCACATGAGGGCCAGTGACGCTGCGCCCTCTACAGCTAAGATGGTGAACAACAGCTCGACCTGGAGCTGGGCTGCCTTGAGTTGCCAGCAACGGTGTAGGCTGCAGTGGGGCTGCAGTGGGCTCTTGTAAGCTACCGTGAATGGCCGGTAGCCAGCATGAGCTGCCAAGAGCCCCTGTGAGCAGCCGTCCAGGGCCTGGCAACCAACCTGCCTCACCCGGGAAGAGCGCAATGATAATACCAACATGGGCCAGTGAAGCGATGTCCTCCACAACTAGACTGAAGAACAAAAGGACAGCAACTTGTCTGTTCACCTTCCCCGATTCCCCAGTGCTGCTCCCCTCCCCCAGTTCCCCAATTAAAAAAAAAAGAGAGAGAGATAAAGAAAGAGATGGCATGGAGATGGTGGCAGATGAAGAGAGAATTAGACAGAGATAGATATTCAGGAAAGTTTCTTTCTGGGGACAATGAAATGAATGGTCATTGGGGGTATGTACATGAAATAAGGAAACATACCTAGATTGCACAACCTTGTAAATCCACTAGACGTCATTGCACTGCACACTTAAAGCAGGTGAATTTGGTGGCATGTGAATTATCCCTCATTAAAGAAAGAAAAAGGAAAGCGCATCCAGGAATTCTTGCCAGCAAGTAGGCTTTGTGCGTGTGGTCCCATCCTGCGGCTTCTGTGCGTCTCTCTCCATCTTGTGAAGGGCACTGGAGGCTCTGCTAGGGAGACTTCCCATGTCTTTTTATTGCCCCCTCACCCTTTCTCTTCTTTCCTCACCCAGGCTCTGTTGGAGGAGGCCCATGTCAGGAGAGGGGTAGCTGTGCTTGTTGTGGGTGCTGGAGTGATTAGGGAATTAGTTAGGGAGGCTGCTGGTTTCTCACACACATACACATGCACACACTCTCTCTCTCACACACACACACACACACACGCGCGCACGCGCACGCGCGCACACACGCACACCCAAATAAAAGAAAACCACAGAAGAAGAATTACTCGAACCCCACTGCCTTCCCCCAGGCACGTGTACATCCCTCTGTCTTTTCTCAATTCATGGCGCTCAGCACCTCCTCCTCCACAGCCTTCAGACCCTGCCGTGTTTTTAAATCATGCCATAAATAGGTTGAGCAATAAGCAGCCAACATTTTAAAGTGCCCCTTAAAACGAAATATTATAAAAATATGAAGATAGCCCAGCAGAACCATCCAGTTCTTGGTCATAAGAAGCTCATGATAATCATATATAAATTTATCTTTAAAATTCTGAAAGATGGAGGGCAATTTGGCTCCATCCTGGGTTGATGGGGAATTTTTTTTCTCTTCTGCAGAAGGCACTTCTAGTAAAAAAAAAAATAAATAAATAAATAAATAAATAAAAGTATATATTTTTATTTTATTTTATTTTATTTACTTATTATTTTTTTTGACATAGCATCAGTCCTGAGCCACAGGCTGGAAATAACAGCTAGCTAGTCTTGTTGTGAGCTCAGAGATAGTTTAGTTTTCTGGAATATTCCCCACCTTGAGGTTGCCTCAGACCCCTTCACACAGGTCAGTGTCATTGGGGATCCCCTGCATCTGGGACCCCACTACGTCTTGCAACTGCATGCGTTGCCTGCTTCCCACCCTCTTTCCAAGGCAGGCATGGGCCCCACATTGCGGCTGGCCCAGAGGCTGCCCTGTGGCCTTGCTCCCCCGTTGCATGGCCCCCCTGTTGCCCCAGCGTGGCCTCACGTCCCTCCTTCTCATCCTCTCCATTTCTCCAACCAGATGGCTGCCCCGATTTGTGCAACGGCAACGGGAGATGCACACTGGGTCAGAACAGCTGGCAGTGTGTCTGCCAGACCGGCTGGAGAGGGCCCGGATGCAATGTTGCCATGGAAACCTCCTGCGCGGATAACAAGGATAATGAGGGAGGTGAGCAAGCGTCTTCTAATTCCCAGCCCCTCAAGAACAGAGAATTGTATATAGGCGGTCGTCCTGAGTCATTTTTCCTGAAAGACCTCCCCGATACCATTGTCAAAATGTTGTTGTGACATTTCCTTTGAAGCCAATGCAGCGTCCTTGCGCCAGTGGGGGCTCCTGGAGACATAGGCTGGAGACTCTGGGGTTTGATGCTGGCTTTGGATTCTCAATGTGTATCACCATAGAAAGATGGCTGGTCACTGGCTCTGCCCTTGGGTGACTGTTCCTGCCAGGGCCTTCAGGGCTGGGAGTTACCACCACATCTGTGCTGATGGTGACAACATGTGCCTCACGTTGTGTAAGACGTCACAAGCAGTGCCGCCCCTTGAGATATTACCTTACAGATGAGGAAACCGAGGCCTACACAGTAGTCCATTTTTTTGGTTCAGTAACTTTTTAAAGAAACCTCAGTCGCCAGTACTAAAATTGGGACCCAAACCCAGCTCTGACTCAAGTCCATGTTCTAACCTGTGGCTGGCAACCCACAACCATATCCAGCCCACCGCCTACTTAGGATCGTCCTCTGAGCAAAAAAATGCTGTTTATGTATAATGGTTGGGGGGGCATAGATTCTAAAGAGGAATGATATTTCATGACAAATGAAACGATGTGGAATTTGAATTTCAGTGTCCATGTATGACATTTTATTGGGACGTGGCCATGCCTGTTACTGTGTGTGTTGGCTGTAGCTGCTTTTACCCTGAATGGCATTGTCAAGTCATTGGCAGAGACCACGTGGCTGACAACACCTAAGATGCTTACTCTCTGACCCTTTACAGGGAAAGTCTGCGGATCCCAGTTTTAACCTCTGCGCTGAATTGTCCTGTGATATTCCCTGATGGAGTGCTAAGGTTCTGGGGCTACATGGGATTGTGGTAGCATGTGGGCCACCTGATTTCCTAAGAATACCATGCCATGTACCCCAAACATTAGCACAGGTCTGGGATCCACCCCCAGCAAAATTGTTTCAGGGTATAAGAATATCCATGCGCCTGATTAGTTAACAAAAGTGTGTATAACCCGACTGTGTGCCGATCACTGCACTCTGGGAATGTCAGCCCCCTGCCCTCATGGCCCCAAGGGGACAGCTTCAGTGGCATCCGGAGTGAGGTGCACTCCATCCAAGTAATGACTGAAAGTGTGAGACACTCTACTTTTATTTTTCCTCTTTCTCTTAATAGACATTTTGCAACCTCCGTAATCTACTATTGCAGTTGTACATGCATATAATTTGTAAATAACCAAATGCACATGCACTGATAGGAGTACACCAATCAGAAAAAGTGTATAGACTTGGTGTGGCTCCCAGAGCTCCAATTCATTCATTTACTTTCCTGAAAGAGAGCCAAAATAGAAGGCACTTTAATTCATGTTTGGATGAGGTGAGACATAACTACATAATGCATTTGTTTTTCCCCCAAGAGTGAGAGTCAAAATCGAACTCATTTTCCTGGTAAGGCTCACTATGTTTGCTTCTGGTCCCTGGTGACTTCACCGAGCATAGCCCTTGCTAACAAATCAGCTCCTCCCTCTTCCAGAAAGAAGCTGCCATCCTGGCTGCCTGCCCTGTCGGGGGTGTCAGCAGCTGAAGCAAAGGGCGGCAGTGCTGCAAGTCAGGGAGGGGGACTCAGTCTCCATTACTGAGCCTTGCTCAGCCCACGTCCCTCTCTACCAGGCCCACCCCTGATTCAGGCTCCCACCAGGAGAAAACCAAATTCCTGAGTGGGTGGGGCTGGAGGAGGCACAGGGGACACAGCCAGATGACCCAACCACGGGCACAGGTCAGGGTCCCGCCTCGTGGGCAGAGGCAGAGCATCAGAAAGGCAGGGCACAGAAGCAAATGAGGCGGTGATTATGCTAAAAGACAATAATGGCCTTGTTATGGGAGCTGTTAAAGTGAATCTCCCAAGGAAGTAATTAACCATCAAGAGAAGAAAAAAAAAAGGCTCTGCATGGTGTTTATAAAAAGAAACTCCCAGTTAATTCAGAGTTGCTTATGTCAGGTGAGATGGAGACCTGGATCCCCTCTCACCTGGCATTAGCAACTCACAATTAACTGAGTTCTTTTTTTGGAGGAGACTCCTCTGTGCAGAGTATCCTTTTTATGGTTAATTACTTCCCTAGGAGGTGTGCTAAGCACTTTGCTGTTTATTGATAAATATTAAAGTTACTCCTCATCTACTCCAGATCCCACCCTGCAGCACACTAATTATATCACGTTTCTAGCTGCCGTGGGTGGGGGTGGGAGTCATGCCGCAGGCTCTGTCTTGCTTTGGGAGTTCTCAGGAAGGGCTGTGCGGGTTTCTAAACCTGGGATGAGTCAGAGGAAGTGCCAAGCAGAGCATNAAAGCCTGCCTACCTGGTAACTATGTTCAAAAAGGTTTGGGGGTCTTTGTAGGGTTTGGGGTTTTTCTTTTTAGTGTTTGAAATTTTATGTGTAGACTGTCTTGGAAACTATTCCATTTCCACTCTGCCGGAGGCATTGGAGATGCTAATTTCAGTCCGAAGTCATTCATTCATTCATCCACTCACCTGACCATTGAGTCCTGGCAATCTGAGAGTAAATGAGATAGACCTCAGCCTGGCCCTGACAGGTTTACGTCATAGCAGGGGTGCCCAGGGCAGTGGTTCCGTTGCACACTGCACCATTCTGGAGGCACCACTCAAATTATAGTTGATGGTGATGTGAACATTTACTACAACAGTTTTTCAGCATGTGACAGTAAAACGTGTTAAGGAATGGCTGCTTCATGGGCTGACAAGTATCAAGGAGGTGCCAGACCACTGGATGGGATGGGATAAAGCTGCTGTGACAGGTGTAGCTAGCCCAGATTTGGGAGCTTGGTCAAGGCTTTCTGGAGATGACTTCTGAGTGGGCAGCTGAAGGGTGGGTTGAAGTGAGGCAGATGCGGCTGGGACAAGGAAAAGGCCCAATGACTTCTGTCTGACCAGAGCCTCAAGTACTGAGATAGGCTGACAGGGTGGGAACAAGTTCACATAGAATCGTAAGACAGTTGAAGGACTTCAGACTTCACCCTGGGCTCAGGGGGGAGCTACAGAAGTGTTTTCAGCAGTGCCCAGAACAGAGAGAAATGGATGGTGGTGCAAGACTGGAGGCAGGGAGGCCGGGTAGGAGGTTTGACAAGAGTCCGGAGCAGTGGTGAGGATGGCTTGGGACAATAGTGCAGTAGGATGTGGATGAGGGCAGATGCCGGAGGGATACTATTTAGGAGGAAGGACAGGTAGGACTTCTCACAGTGAAGAGGAAAATTAGGCAGGACTTAGTTGTTGACTAGATGCTTGAGATGAGAGAGGTGGGGGGAGGGGGGGTTTGTACTGAGGATGACTCCAAGGTTTCTGTCTTGGGCGTTGGGGTACATAGAGATGCCACTCTTTGATTAAGGGATCAGAGTTTGGGGAAACAGAAGACAAAAAGGCTGAATTCTGTTGAGTTTGAGATACTCGCGAAGGAACAGATGGAAATACTGAGCTGCAAGCTGGAATCTAGAGTTCAAAGGACTGGAGCTGAACATTCAGAAGTCATCGGAATATAGGGTGTGTTTGGGTTTGTTTGGTGTTTTGTTGTTGTTGTTTTTAAACCCCAATTTCTGCAACAGCTCTAATTTTTGTTAAGGCAAAAAGCCTGCCTACCTGGTAACT